ATCTGGGGTTCGTATTTTTCTAGACATGAGTAACCTTGAACATCTCTTCTACAACTACCGGCCTACCCAACTCTTTTTCCTGCAAATAAAACAAGTATAATTTAATCTCCAAAAACTACTTATCAAAAAAAAAAATATTTTACAAAATTAAGAAAGTATACCATTCTTTCCTTCCTAGTAACTAGGCTAATAGCTCCACCGATGTGCAAAGAGCCTCCCTTTTCTGATACGCGAGCCATCTTCCCAATTTCACTCCTCTTTTTAAATTTTTCATTAGTACCCCAATGTTCCAGTAACAGATCCCATTGAGTTGGTACCATAAACTTAGGAATTCTATTATTTTTCTGGCATTCACTAAATGTGCTAGAAAGTAACTTTGAAGCTTTCACCTTGAAGTTTGCTTGAACTTCTTCCTCATGTTTGGGAGCCCATACATAATATTTATGTAATGAAAAATGACTAAATATTTATTGTTCAAATGAATAGAGAATTTAAATGTATATGACGTGAATTTAATTGATAAACATTCTTACCTTAAATTCAATGAACATCTGCCCCCTGTTGTTAATTGGAATCGAACCCCAAGTCCGGTACACACCATTATAGTGAGTACCGATGCACTTCAAAATATTTTTTGACAAACCCACATCGAGACGTAAGCTGAAATATGAGTTCATTGACAAAAGAATGGTAAACAAAAAATAATCAATCAATTAATTAAAATATAAAAAGACAAATGAAAGATGAAACATAACTAAATCATACTTGTATCCTAACAGCTCGATGACAAGTCTCCAAAAATTGTCTTTATCGCCTGGCTAAGGACCACGTGCATCTGAGTGTTGGGTGGTGGGAGTATTAGTCTCCGAGCCATTTGATACAAGATGAAGATTTTAAAATCCAATTAATCCACTATTAGTATTCAAATTATTACACTGACTAGCACTAGTTGATGGTATGGTAAACTCACGACCAAAAATTGAATATCCTTGTAATGTTTAATAACTTGATCTAGGTACCACATTAGGTGTAGATATAGTATACCCAGATTGTGGAGCCATATGAGTAGAGACATTGTGTAACTAGTGTGCACAGTGAGTAGCTAAAAAACTAGCGCTAGTTTTGAAATATTAACTCTAGAGGGTTCATCGGATATCAGCACCCCAAAGGACCTTTTCATAGCATTGACCTTAAATTTCTTTTTTGGATTAGATAACATTTTTTATTTACTCTTGTCTTTCTACCATGTATATCAATTAAACATAAAGACTAAAAAAGAATGGGACAAAATAATGTCACAATGTCAAACAAATATATCAAACAGAGTTATCATAACATAAGGCTTAATCCACATAGCCTTTCACCAAATAAATAACATTAACTTATTGAAGAATTTAACAACTTTCTAAGTCTAATTGGTTTAGTTTTAACTTAATTCTAACACTATATTCACCAACTAAATCACATTAACTTATTTGAAGAACTTAACAACTTTTTAAGTCTAATTTGTTTAGTTTTAGCTTAATTCCAACACTATATTTACCAATTAAATCACATTAACTATTTGAAGAACTTAACAACTTTCTAAGTCTATGTAACAGCCCGCTAGGTCGTTTGGAGAACTCAAACTATCTTGACTCTTTCCGTAGAATTTAAAATAAAAAAAATTGAAATATTCGGTAACCAGGATTATTTAGTTGTCAGATATGTGTTAAATATTTAATATAGCTGCATACTTAATGGGCCAGATCAACACCTAATTTAGTTAAAACCTTTTTTTTCACTGAGCCCATTTAGTAAATTAAGATAAATGAGTGATTAGCATAACCCCATTAACATATTGTGGCAAAACGTGTAGGGGAAAAGAAACCGTCGACTTCAGGTGAACGACTTATTCTCAAACTTTTCAATTCTTCATTTGAGTACATTGTCAAAGTGAATTAAACTGTTATGTTAAATTATTTGTTGGTGTGTATATGAGAAGATAATTTATTTTTTGATCTATTCAGATCATTTGTAAAGGAACAGAAAGGAATTCTTTTATTTATGTGCTACTTTATCAACCTAAGGGGGGGAGGAGCATTGAATGCCCATTAATGCTCATTTTGGAAGTGGCAGATGGCATGACCAATTGTTTAGAAATTAAGCAATTGGACCGAATAAAATTAAAGAAAAAGAATGAAGGATCTCACATTTAAAGTGCATATTCTGGTTTGTTAACTAGTGAAAATGGGTCTTAATTAATTTATTTACAGAATTTAGTCACTAGTATTAATATGTTATCATTAGAGAATTAAGTTTGGATTGTATTGTATTATATAAATCTTCGTATTGACGATGTTGGATATTAGAAATAGTAGGTATTGCTGGGAATTTTTTTGGATTGTAGAACTTGTTAATTTAATTTATTCCTAATGACTAGCAAGTAAATTAAGTGAGTTACTGTAAGTATTGAGGGTGTTGGATTATAGTAGAGGAGAATGTTTATATTAATTAATATCATGTTTAATCATTTAAAAAGACTTAAGCATAACCATTGGAAAGAAAAAAAAAGGGGGAATCGTTGGCAAACAAAAAAAAATTGATTTCATATATGGAACCTGCGAAATTTTCCATAGTCATTACTTATTTAATTAAGTTACATCAAATTACTGATTGGCTTTAAACTTTTATTTCATTATTTAATTTTTATATAGTAATGTTCCATGAAGTGTATGTATATAGCTAACCAAATTTTGGTGGTATTGTATTACATGAGTATTTTTAGAATCATAATATTTTGAGGAGTTGAGGCTTAACAGTAGGCTTGAAATTTAGTAAATATAATCTTGACATACAAATATATCAAGAGTAAGAGTTTGATTGGATATATGAGTGAGTTTTGGAGTTTAGGTTAGACAAAAAAAAAATTGAATACCTATGAACTCGCTTACTTAAGAATATCTCACGATGGATAGATTGGGAACGTTCCGAAGCCTTGCGAAAAGGAAAGGAAAAATCTTGAAGATTGGTGACACGAGTTCGGCATTTAAGGTATGTTAAGACTTTTAGACTTGTTGAAGGACGTTTTCCTAATTAAAAATTAAAAATGAAAATAGACAAAGGGGTAAGGGGGAAAGATGGTGGTCTCGTATCAATGGTGTGACGGGCATTGGTACGAGTACCGGTGTTATAAAAAAAAGAAAATACTA